ACAAAATGTTAATTTTGATTATAAATCCCACTAAAGTGAATGATCCTAGGTGTTTGCTCCCAGTAATTAGTTTAAAACTTATTACTCAAATTGTTTGAGAACTTTATTCAGCATTTAATGATGCCAATCTCAGCATATCCTAAGATCTATATTATGCATATGAGATCCAAATAGAGTTAAAGCATGTGTAGTCTATGACAGAAAGTATATTTATTCCCACCTCTTTGTACCTTCAACTGCTCAATATTTTTGATAGGTTAGTTTTTGCATGGAACAGTTTCTCAAACCATTTCATGAGGAGAGATCAAGACAAGGCAGGAACAAGCAGATAATGTAGGGAAGGACTAGAACTCTGTTGTCAATTTATGCCAGCTTAAATTGTCAGATTAATTTCAGAGTTTGTCTTTCTCTATATATGCTGGATACTTGCCACTCATATATAAATCTTACTGATGTAGGACAAGAAAACATTAGTCAAAATGAGTTTCAACACACCCCAAACAGACCCACAATACACAACAGCCCTCTTATGATCTCTTCAACTGCTTTTGGCATTTAATGTTTGGCTGACTATATTTCAACAGAGAAAATGTATGACAGAATATTACATGCAGAATTAAAAGATATCTTTGACTGCCAAGCTGCAGGGACTGGAGCATCTCTTTTGCTAGGAAAGGCTGACAGAGGTGGGACTGTTCAACCAGAAGAAGTGAAAGCTCACAGGAGATCTCATCAATGCAAACAAATACCTGAAGGGAGGGTGTAAAGAAGATGGAATCAGGTTTTTGTTCAGTGGTACCTGGTGACAGGACCAGAGGCAATGGGCACAAGTTGAAACAGGAGGTTCCATCCAAACATTAGGAAACACTTTTTTACCATGGGGACAACTGAACACTGGCACAAGTTGCCCAGAGAGGTTGTGGAGTTTCCATCCTTGGAGATATTCAAAGGCCATCTGGACATGGTTCTGGTATACCAGCTCTAGGTAGCCCTGCTTGAGCAGGGAGTTGGATAAGATGACCTCCAGAGGTTCCTTCCAACCTCAGCCATTCTGTGATTTTGTTGGTATAGAATGTGATATTTCCATTATAACTAATACCCTGATTTGCTTTGGCTTGGATGCTTTCTAAATATTTCCTGTTGGACAGATGTCAATACCTGTACCAGAACTGAGGATAAAAGAATCTAAAAATTGTCATGAATCTTATAATTTAACCAAACAAAACAAAGTTATCGTTGCCTCAGACATTTGCTAGTTGTCTGAGGCTAGGACACATAGATGTCTCCAACTTACTTGTCGCCAAGGTGTCTGATACATGTATGAGTGAAACCTTGTTGTCATCTTGAAAAGGAGAAGTTAATGAAGCTGGACTCCCTCTCCACTTATGAAAGACCACGTTCTTCAAGACAATGTGAATTGTGTCCCTAACATCCTTACTAAACTTCTCTCTGAATGGCACTTTCCTCCTCTCTTGTGCAAAGTAGATAAACCAATGTTATTTGACCGGGAATAAGTTTCATTCCAGACAGGAAGAGACAGCTGAACTTGGACTTGATAACTATCAGTGAGGAATAACTGAAATTTATGGTCATAGAATCATAACTGGTTTCCCTTTTCTTTTGTTTTTGTTTGGGGTTTTTTGGTTTATTTTGGTGGGGTTTTTTGTTGTTGTTGTTGTTGTTGTTGTTGTTGTGGGGTTTTTGTTTTGGTTTCTTTTTTGTTGTGTTTTTCTGGGAGGGGGTGAGGGGATGAGGGTGAAGCTGATTTTATATTTTGTAACATGTATTTTCTTACCAGGGCCCAGTGGAGTCACTCTTAAGGAGATACTATGTGTAACAATAGAAACATGTTAGGAAAGAACAAAGCAATTGAAACCCAACCTTTCAAATGGTTTATTAATTTTGTATTTCTCATTGAGAATAATGTTATTTGAAGAGCAATTCCAGCTTTATAATTTTCAAAACCTTATTTTATTTTTGCATTACCCAGCATTGTATTCATATAATTTCAAGATTATGTTGACTTTTAGTTGTTTAGAAAAGCGTATTTCTTTTTTTTCTTATCACATTGGAGTGGTACTTAAATGTGTTTAAATACTCAAAAATCTCACAACAAATTAAAATAAATGAAATGCAATATTTAGAGTTTTATTATTTTTAAGATATGATTTTGAATAATGCATGGATGGTTTTCTAATATGTTGTCAGTTGTGTATACATAATGTATTGATGCTGATTGTCACATTATAAGAAAATAATTTTCAATACAATTGCTCCTGCTCTGCACAGACTATCAAAGATATCTGTGGAAATCAGATACTTGTTTATTAACACGTTAAAAACTAATGAATAAAAAATATTTTCTCAAAGTAATAAAAATCTGCATATTGGGAATGTACATGGACGCTTGGGTTGGCAAGAGGTTGTCTGTACTGCACAACATAAAACTTGGTTTGGAAAAATCAAATTCTGTATAGTGTCAACTATTGGATTAAATACCTAACTACAAACAATGTGCATGGTTTGGTAAGATCCTTTTAGTAATGTGGTCTACAGCAATGTTTTAACAAATTTCTCTTCAAATCAGATTCTTTATTGCATTTCTAAACTTGCATTAGTGGAGTAATCTCCAAAACTCCATTGGAAATCATTGTTATTTGGGCACCTGTCTTCCTTCTAACCATTTGACAATTGTGGTATTAAAGAGTAAATGTTCTTCCTCTCTGATGTATAACATCTACTTTAGAGTGTAAGCTCCATGGGGCAGGGACTTTTTAATCACAGATACTTGAACAGAGGCTAGTACCTTCCAGATGTTATTGGCATATAAATAACTGTTAACTAATATACAATGATTTTAGAGCAGTTTCATGTTAAGTATAAATTAATTATCAAACTACTTGTTTCTTTAAAAAAATACCCAAAGTATCTTCAGAAATATAAACCAACACACATGGTCTTCATGGTTTTTGCTTAATGGTAAAGTATAATCCCTTGCTAAATGAGATAAACCAAAGTTGATGTGAAAAATTAATACAGTTTATACTAAGTCTGTGCTCCTGTCTAACAATTCAAATACCTTTTCCTGTAAGTACCTCTGAATTGAAAATGTATTTCCTATTTCACATCCTATAAAAATGGAGCTCTTCTAAATCATATTCAGATAGATGTATAACAAAAGAATTCAAAATAGGTCTTTTTTACTCGCATGACTATAGAACAATTTCAAAATAAACACCTGTAATTTTTTTCCACCTGTATCATTGTCCAAACATATTTGGTTATCAAGTTTCTCAGTATCACTCAGTAAATAAATTGTTACAACTAGCAATACTTTTATTTCAATATAATCACATTAAAATTAAAAAAGCAATTGCATACTAAGCTATTTCTAGTGGTGTGATAGCTACTGTAAACAGGGTGGCACGACAGATGCTGTAAACAGGGTGGCACGACAGATGCTTTCCATTTACCATATTTTCTTTTGCTTATTGTTGTTGAATGCTGGCTTTTTCTGAGGATGTGTAAATTTCATTTGGTAATGCCCTATAGCTCATAAAGGTTTTGTATATATGTCTGTTAAAACATTCTGTTTGTTATTTCACAGCACTGATTTCCATTAGCAATCATAGAAACATTTCAACTCAGTTAAAGGTATTAATATTTCATTTGTAAATCATAGCTTGGCTTGTGTGGACAGAAGCCTCATACCAAATATGTGTTCATCTTCTCTGTTAGCAGGGGATATGAGTTGTGAATATCTTTATGCAATAAGAGTGAGTGCACAGACCTTTATTGTGCTGAAGTAAGAATTAATACAGCAAAAAGTGAATGGATTTTGTATATCTTTTTTTTCTGTGCAGGAATATTTTTGTGTTTATAGAAAAACAGTGCAGAGGATAAACAGGAATGAATTCATAGGCTACTCTGATAACAGAAAGACACATCCTGTTCACACATTCGTAAGACTGGTAGCATCAGTTCATGTTTTGTCCTTCAAAATATGCAGCATATATAGCAGGTCTCAGGGAAAGCATATGACCCATTAACATCATTGACAGCAGATAACAGGATTCAACTGCAAGAAAGGGTGATGCATAATAATGTCAGGCCCATTCCTTAACACAATGGGCAGTCACAAGGTGGGCAGAACTCCCATAGAAGTCAGTAGCAGAAATGTTTATTGATTCTAAAAGAATCAGATTTAATATGATCCTAGACAATTTAGCTCGTACATAATGACCACATTGTAAGTAGCTCACTTCTTTCTTCTAAACAAAATTAACATGTTACCATGGTACCCAGGAGGAATCCCATGGTTCTACTGCAGGCAAACTCCCATCTTTCTGAGTAAGGGATGAGTGAGGACCATAGCAATTAACCCTATGGTTTGCTGAACTAATCATCTGCCTGTGTAAATCTGCATAACACCATTGTTTCAGTGGCATGTGTTGCATTCTCTGATAAAAATCTAAGTCCTAAACTTGCAAGCAGAATATATTTTACAGAAAAATCCCATTCAAATGCTGTCTTTCTGAAAAATATCTGATCTTGTTCAGATAGCTCTCATTTAACAAATGTTATGATTACTTCAACAAAAAATTCTCTTATTAAATATAGTACTTTCATAACTGATAAAAAGGAAATAGACATATTAGTCCAAATAGGTCAAATTCAGTAAAAAGTCTTCCTTTAGTTGTCTTGTTATTTAACTGCAGTATATTCATTTGCATACCTTGGTACCATTTCTTGTAGTGGGAGAAATTTTACTAATGAATTTTGTAACCACTATAGCCATTAGTATGTACATTACTATTCACATTGTATAAACTTTGCAATATAAATTACACTATGCACTTGTTGAATTGTAATACTCTGACAGCTCTTAGGGCCACCTCTCTTTGTATGTCACGTCTTTCTTTCTGTCCAGGATTAAAACAAAAATCATATAAAGCAACTTTCATATTATTCACATGAAATCCTTATGCTTGTTTTTCCAGGTCCTGAAGGGCTTTCCAGAATGCTTACAAGCTGACATTTGTCTGCACCTCAACCAAAATTTGCTTCAGAATTGTAAAGCTTTCCAGGGGGCCAGTAAAGGCTGTCTTCGAGCTCTGGCTATGAAATTTAAAACAACACATGCACCTCCTGGAGACACTTTAGTGCACTGTGGAGATGTTCTCACTGCTCTTTACTTTGTGTCAAGAGGCTCCATTGAAATCCTTAAGAGTGACATTGTTGTAGCCATTCTTGGTAAGTAGATTGCTACAAGGCATGCTAAAAGAATCAGGGGATTGAAAACAAATATCCATTGTTGTTTCTGGCGAAGGAAATCTGTAAGCATTTTACTCACCGTTGTTAAAAATCAAGCAGAGAAATAATTTAAGGAGCAAAGTCTACATTGCTGTAATAATTCATGTGCACCAAAGAGCCCATGTCCTTGGATATAAGAGCAGGAGTGAGACAGGTTTATCCCTAGTTAAGTGGTAAGCTGCAAGTTGAGTCAAGAAGATACAAAATTGCACCAGTTCTGATTTTACTGTAAGAACCACAGTCAAGGACACCTTTTCCTTGAACAGTATGTGAGGGTACTGAGGCACACAGACCCCCTGTATGCTAGCTGGAGAAAAACACGTATCTACTTCAGGTATTCAAAATGTCTTCTAGAGGTTTTCAGAAATATCTGTTTCTGCCCACTGAGCATATAGAAAAGGAAGAGAATAACAAAGTAATCTGATCTATATTGATACTTAAGTGAAATAACACCAGTGTTTCCCCTATGTTTCTGATTAACACGTTATTGTTTGAATAGCATAGGAAGTTCTTGTTTTCTTTCCCAGTGGAGATGTCTCAGAGCAGTGTTCAATACAGCTGGAAGCTCACCTGCTTGCCTCGTGATGGCTCTTACATGGAATCATTAGCCACAGCAATTTTAAAAGTAAAATAACTAAAAGCCTACCTAAACAAGGCTACTGATTTGTTTCTCCAATTTAATATCAGTTAATAAAAACACAAAGAATTGAGTAGATGAGGAAGGATTTTCCTGTATAGAAACCTACATTAGCTGAACATCATGCATATGTTCCCCTTTTTGTTTATCATCCACTGTAGGAACCTGAAATCAGAAAAATATCTGAAACTAAATGTGGACTGGTAGCAGTATGTTGCTATTAATCCACTTGTGACTGAATATTCTGATAGTGCTTTGCAGGGTGGATACATGAGCAGAAATACACAGGTGTGCCTATAGCAATCCTTCCCTAGGTTTAAATGGTGTTACCAAGGTAATTTGTTGTCTCATGCTGTTGCATCTCATCAGCTGGGTCAGCTTTAGGCACAAGCGAAGAGATGATCATTCAAGTATAGCACTGTGAGGTTTTTACTTGTGTGTTTTCACCTGGTTAAGAAGTTTGGTTCATCAAGGATTTCATCTTTTACATCAAAAACATTCAAATTTCTATAGCACTCACAATCAAGAAAAAACAACAAGTTTATGAACTCATCAATTTCTTCCTGGACCAAAGATGCAGACTGGTCAAGTTTTGCATGTTAGGCACGTCAGATCACTGTGCTCTCACACTGCAGCGATGCCACTGTATCTTTTCCAGGCTACAGCTCCTCACACTAGCTGCTGCACTTTGGAGCCTAACTCTGCCAAGGGAATGGTGGGTCAGACAGATAGGGAGACAAATGAGCACAACTGCAGCCAAAAGGAACTGCTCTGTGGGCCTACATGTTGCAGGATCCATGAGGCAAGAGCCTGCCTGATAGCTGGCTCCAGTCAATAAATCTGTGGTATCTTGAAGAAATCTGCTAAAAAAGAACACAAGATGACACAAACAAAAATTACTTCACAATGAAATGACACAGAAACCTAACAAAGATTATCAATACATAGCAAAATATTTGTAGTTAATTCCTCTTTCTGAAAACCTACACATAGAAATTGACTTAAAAAACATTCAATGCTTTGTCCTCCGGGGTTGAAAAGACATCAGTCCAACAGAGGTAGCATGGATGAAGTTTTCACACTTAACAAGTGCTGCAACTTTATTACAGAAATTAGAGTTCTGAGAAATACTTTTTTGTCCCCAAGTTTTCCTCAATTTGTTGTCACTGTCTGATGCTGCTGAGGAAGGTCTCATCAGTACTGACCTGACAACAGCAATTCTGTGACAAGATCCTTAGGAAATACAATAGCTGTGGACCCCATAGAATCTACCCTTTTAGTTCGCAGACAAGATACAGAAATACTGTGATCATTCAATAGTTATACTGCAGAGAAGGCATTATATGTCTTGACTAGGAACCTCTGCATTCATAAACATTAAGACCAGGACTGTTAGATTATGTCGGCTAACCTCTGTTATATTACTGACTCCTGTTATATTTCATATCTTTAACTATCCGCTGGGTCTAATGAACTGTTTGATGAAATAAAAGTAATGGGTTTTGATCTGAAGACATAATGAGATGAAAAAGTGATCACTTTTCTTGGCAGTTTATTTCCATAGTTAATCATTTTTATTGTTAAAAATGTGTTCTTTATTTCCAGTATAAAATTATCTGCTTCAATTCCTTTCCATTAGTTCTTGCTATGCACTCTTTATTTATTCTAGAGGGATTTAGCACCAAGTATTTTTTCCTCTCTATAAGGTTATATGCAATATAACCAGGTTACCTTTTAATCTTCCTGTTTATAAACTAAACTGACTGTTCTTTGTAAAATGCTCACTGAAATCAGCTGTTAGATTATTTTTTCAGCTTTTATCTGCTTGCTCGCCCAGTTTTCATCTTCCTTTATAGAAAACGGAGAAACCAGAACTACTTCTAGTAAGCTTATATAAAACCCACAAATGTTTAACAGAAAGGCAAAATCACCCCTGTATTTTTTTACGAGTCTACTGTTACTCAGTTGCTATGACCACTATTCTATTCCATAAGTGTTTTCCTAGTTCGCCTCCGAATGCCATATTGCAGGTAAGCCCTGCAGCCTTTAGTTTAGAGCATATTTTCACTGGTCTATGGCTGCAAATGTTTTGCATTGATGAAGGTTAGGTGCAGATTTGGGGAAAATGATCAATCTAATAGAGATGACAATTTTAGCAAATGAGCACTAGAAATGTGTCCACAGTGACGGAAAGAATTTTAATATCAAAACAGAGGCATCTATATTTAAAGAGCTGCTTCAAAACAATTTTTGCATCTTGGAAGTTTTGCATTCCCTCTGAAAAATATAAAAACTAAGTTATTTTCTGCTGAAATATATTTCAAATTTCTTCATATATTTCCTTGAACACCGCCAGGGTTGGAGCATTCACAACTTCTTTGGGCAACCCATTCCAGTGCCTCACCACCCTCACTGTAAAGAACTTCTTCCTTATATCTAATCTAAACTTCCCCTGTTTAAGTTTGAACCCATTACCCCTTGTCCTACCACTACAGTCCCTGATGAAGAGTCCCTCTCCGGTATACTTGTTGATATTGGAAGGCTATGAGGTCTCCACGCAGCCTTCGCCTCTCCACACTGAAGAGCCCCAACTTTCTCAGCTTGTCTTCATATGGGAGGTCCTCAAGTCCCCTTATCATACTCGCAGCCCTCCTCTGGACTTGCTTCAATTGCTCCATGTCCTTCTCATGTTGAGGACACCAGAACTGCACACAATACTCCAAGTGGGGTCTCATGAGAGCACAGGGGCAGGATCACCTCCTTTAAGCTGCTGGCCATACTCCTTTTGATGCAGTCCAGTATATGGTTTAAAATAATAATCTCCATTGAATTTTCTTTCTGCAGGGAAAAATGATATTTTTGGAGAGATGGTACATCTTTATGCAAAACCAGGAAAGTCAAATGCAGATGTGAGAGCTTTAACTTACTGTGATTTACATAAGATCCAGCGAGAAGATCTACTAGAAGTTTTGGATATGTACCCTGAATTTTCTGATCTCTTCCTCACCAATCTAGAGCTGACTTTTAATCTGAGAGATGAAACTGCAAAGGTATATACAATAAGTTACTTTTCTTCTTAACATTGGACCAAATCTGTCCCACAGTAACAAAACTTGGAACTAGCAATTGAAAAAAAAATGGTAGCAAAATTAAAAGCTAAAAGCCTGAGGCCAAATCCTATTTTAAAAAATACAGTCACCTGATTGCTTTTACTGAAGTCAGTTAAGCTTAGCAGAAGTCAATGAAATTATTCAGATTATGTTAATCTAACAGGATTTTGTTCTATATTTAAATAGTATTAAAGTTTCAGCCAGGGGGATATTGGATGTTTTGTTAAAGCCATGGAAAATATGTTTTTTTCAGATGACTATAGCCTGGGTCAGCACAAGGGGAACTTTTGACACTAAATATAATTGTACAGCCACAAAATAGAGATAAATCAGTTTATCCGGATTCATTTTGTGTCTAACAATAGAAAATATTTAATTGCCTTTCAAACATGAATTGTTAATTCTCTTATCTTGGAGTGCACCCTACCTCCTAGGAGACTAAAAGCGTACAAGGTACTTTTCAAATTCCACTCAGTCTTCAGATTCACGGGGATTTCATGGTCTCTTTTTCCCACAGTGATTGTCCTAAGTGTCCCCATTTGCACAGATTGCATAGTCAAGGAAGTAGAAGATTTACCAGTTTTTCCTTTTTTCAGACTGCCAGGATCAGTCTGAATTGGGAAAGAGAGGAGACTTTTGGGCAGGAGGGAAAAGGCGAAGAGCTGTTGCCAAGCTCATACTACTGGGGCTAAAGCTTTCTCTAGGAAGTCGCAGGTTACACCAGCACTGGCCATGAACATGGACTATGCTGCCCACAGAACAACTACTTTACATTTCTTTATTTATGAGATAGTGCTGTTATGTGTTTTTTTACTATACTTTTAAGGAAAAACAGAGGTTCAGTGAGAAGGAACTAACGTAATTTGGCCTCAGAGGCCTTCTGAGAAACAAGGAGGCAAAGAATAGTAAGGTTTGGGCTGTAAATGATAGGGACATCTTTGCTAATCACATGTGGCTCTTCAGTTTAAAAACTTAAAATAAATATAACTTCTGACAAGAAATGTCACTTCTTCTAATGCTGAGCCCTTTTTTAATAAAATACCTTTCTGAAAATAAAAGAAATTCTATTTTTTATTTTAAAAGTAATCTTTTTGTGTTTATTGAAAAGAACATCATTATTAATTACATTTGAAATACAATCCAATGAATTTATAGTCTTGTGATAGATTTAAGTTAAAACTGAAAGTCCACATATTTGAAAAATTCCTTTAAGATAAATTCACATTAATGATTTTAGTCTGAGCAATTATTTCCTGCAATTAAATGGTCATCAATGTTTTATCATTATTTTTTCCTTAGATCTGAGATAATTGAAACAAAATTCCATCTTCTGTCTTGTGGTGTAAAATACACAAAGAAAGTCCTCACTGCTTGTGTTTCTTAGAAAATTTTCAGTTGTCGTTTTTTGCTGCTGTACCAGCCACTAAGAAAACATCACTAGACTTCACAGAGATAAGGAAGGGAGGACAGGCTCACCCATGCCTCTGAGCTTGCAAAGACAGTTTTCTCTAGCAATTCCACTTGCTTTCCACTGTCTATTGAAATCCAGAAAATCATCCCCCAAAAGAGGTGATGAGCACATTCTGATCTTCAAAACATCACTCAGATCCAGATTTGTTATGAGAACAATAGGTGCCTCTGCCTCACCTTCTGCTCCTGCCCTCCTATTTATGTAAAAGTGCCTTTTTCCTCCTTCAATTATTCTACCAGTGGGCCACCACTGAAGAACCTTACCCACCAGGTTTACAATGAAGGGAATAGAGAAAAAATGTAAACACTTCCCACTTCTTTCCCTCTGCCCTTCTCCCACATGCAAATCTGCTTACTTGAGTGGTGTGGGAAACCTCACTAGCACAGGGAAGGGAAGTAGGCTGAAGCCAATGCCATGGGTATTTACACAAACAGCATAACTGGTGTTATATCTGCTTATTTGTAAATTCCACAGTTTTAAATAAGTAGAAAAAGAGTTAAATGTATCTTGTATTTATCATGGGAAAAAAAAAAAATCATCTTCTATAAGAAGGCTAGAAAAAAAACAACACAGTGTTCTGCTATGAAAAAAAGTACCTGAATGAACTGGATCTGATAGAGAGGAGGAGAGGGTCTAGATGGATGAAAAAATGAGGGGTAAAGTATCTGGTGTTTGTCAGCCTTATATTTATTGTTGTAAAACTTAACCTTTGTAATCATTACTATGTAGTTAAATATAAATCTAATTACGATCAGTTACCACATTACTTCTTGGAATAGTATACAGTCTTTGTTAGAGGTGGGGTATTTGGTTTTTTTTTTGGGGGGGTGTCAATTTCTCTAAAATTACTTAAACCACATCTGTGCAAGTTCAGGAAACTGGTAACACATGAACAGATGTCTTTCCATGTAAACTTCTTATCAGAACACTTTTGTTTCACTATCAGGCGAAACACTGATGGTTTTGCTTGATCTGCATGAACTTTTTAACATTAGCAATGAGCGATACCATTAACTGGGGATGAAGAGGTTGATGCAGACTGATTTGTGTAATATTACCTTTCTCAAAGCTTGAATATGGTTAACATTCAATCATCAATTGAAAACCTTCTCTATTTGGATGGGACTAATCTGTCATTATGTTTCATATTTCATTAATCAAGTCTGACCTCGTAATAAGATCACAAACTACTAATGATATGGATGGAGATAACTGCAAACTACGAAGACGGAAATTGTCCTTTCAAAGTGAAATAGAGAAAGGTAATTAACTTCATTTCTTACATTAGACAGCACTGCTTCATTATTCACTGGTATTTTACTTGGTAAGGCTGGATACATTAGGGTGCCATGTTGGCTGTTACTGTAGCAGCTCTTGAGAATCCAACTGAGCAGCAAACACACTTTGTACATTGCCCCCTTCATAGGGACTAGAGGATATAAGTTTCACCCTTTGATGACTTCACACCTGTCAGTGCAGAGCTATTCGAACACTAAACTATCTTATTGGCTTGGAGATGTACAAACATATATGTATATTATGTCTTAATATATATATTCTAAGACACTATGATTAAAACTGTTTTGAGAAGCTAATCTATTGGGTTATTGATTAGCAGCACTGATTTTATTTCCTTATCAAAGTGCTTTGTTGAACTTGATGCTAGGTAGGGTTTCTCCCTAGAATGAAAATATTTTGTTTTCAGGACACAGTAGGTTCACCATAGTCAGATTTTGATTCATGTGGTAATGTGTAAATGGTTGTCCTGGCAAGAGTTCAGGTAACATTTGCTGTGCTTACATGCATCTTAGAGGCTTTTGGGAGTAATCCTAATGAAGGAAGATTCAGTGAAATATTAAACTATGTCACCAGTATTCAATACTATAAATACGAGGAGCTGTAGATAGTTGCTCTGGACAGCAACAGTTATGAAGACAGCTAAACTTATACTCACAGGATTTTCATGTTCATGGCAGGGAAAGCACAATTCCTCCAATAAGATTACACTTTCATGGTCCAATAGTTTGTCTGAAAATTACTGTTTCTGGTATGTCTGTCTTTCACACTCCACAGTTAAACACCAATTCTAAATGCAGCATAATACCATTTTCTATAGTTTCAGAGTAGCTGATAATAAATGGGAACACTTTAAACATACATGGCAGGTATAATGCTCAATGAAAGAAGACTAATCCAGAGTGTGGCTACTCAGAACAATGGCATTGCCGTTCAATCAAAGAAGCATCTTTAGGGCAGAAAGCCAAGGCTGACAACAAATCTGTCAGGAAAATGTCCCCATGAAATATTCAATCTGCTCTTCACAAAGAATCTGTTGACAGAGGCACTTTGCCTGAATAACCTTCACATTTCTTATGAGAAAACATATGCTGTCACCTAGTCAAGATAGGAGTGATCCTTCATGTTGTGCCTGCTGCAGAGTTACGAATAGGCCTTCTCAGGTGTCAACTTGGTACCAAGACCCCTATGCTTTTATCATTCTTGCCCGGTAGATCACACTGCACATCCTCTTAGAGATATTTAATTGAATTACTTTTGAAAGAATGTAATTTCCCACAGTTTCATCTTTGAAAAAAAAAACAAACCATGCTTGCACCACTGGGGAAGAAGAGACAAGATGGGCAACAAGCTCCTTACTCCTGGTAATGACTGTATAGTATCTGGTAATGTCTGAGTTAGACAGAATTGTGGTACATTAGAAGTCTGTCTGAGAAAATTCAAGCATAAAAGTCCTTTGCCAAGAATTGTGTATACCACACTGGCTTACTGCCTCTCTCTGGTCCCTTTTCAGATTCTCTGTATGTTGCCATAGCCGCAGGAGACACCTCATAGTCCTAGATCTTCAGTGTCACTTTTCTGTGGCTCATCCTACATCCTGCATGAAGATGTTAGCACTGGCCTGTAAAAAAATATTCTATTGGTTAACACTTTAGATATAGAAGGGAGTGGCATCATATTTTGATCTGGCATAATTGGTTTATAATGATAAATATTTGGGGATGATCCTCCAGAGTGCCTCAGAAGAACTGGAGTAGATAAAACAGTTCCTGAACACACATCTGGCAAATGCATTTCTGGTCACAGTATTGCTACAGCAAAAAATGTGTCATATGATGAATTTTAACAATCATATTTTGATTTTTGTAGAATCATAGAATGATAGAATCATTTGGGTTGGAAGGGACCTTAAAGATCATCTAGTTCCAACACCCTGCCATGGGCAGGGATGCCTTCTACTAGATCAGGTTGCTCAAAGCTCCAACCAACCTGGCCTTGAACAATTCTGGGGATGGGGCATCCACAGCTTCCTTGGGCAGCCTGTTCCAGTGTCTCGCCACCCTCACAGTAAATAATTTCTTCCTTATATCTAATCTAAATCTACCCTTTTTCAGTTTAAATCTACTCCCCTTTGTCTTACTACTATCTTCTCTTATAAAATTTTAGAACTGTACTTTGAACAGGATAGAGACACCCAGCAATCTCACTTTCTTATTTTAATATTTTACGCCTCACTAAATTCATCCTGATTTGTATTTTTTTGGGGGGAGGAGGGTTGTTGTTCATGAAATGGTCTTCTTGTGGGCATTCTTTACTTTCAGCTGTTGACCTACTAGTGTATTATGCAGCTTGAAATTATATTGTTTCCATCTTTACTGTGATTATTGGTGATTTTCTCTGTTTTGGAGTGCTAAAAATGGGATTGTGTTATCTCAGCCTTTAGTTCATGCTAGTCTGATTTGGACCTTGTTGCCATGGTAACTCTTCCTGCATGAGTTTTATCAGGGGTTAAACAAAATCAACACAGCTCTCTGTTATGCATCTGCAGTTAACACCATTACTTTTCCAGTTCCATGCAAGACCTTCTCACTCTGCCTACATGTATTTCCACCATTTCTTACCTGTGTAAACAAAAATTGATAGCTAGTACATTGGGCTCTGCCATAATGTGATTTTAAAGGGTACAAAGTTACTTGAGGGACCAGTTTGTTCTGTGGTTTCCAGAAAGGACTGCAATACCACAAGAGGTCCTCTGCAAAAATTAACACACACTACATACCAGATTATTCTTGCTCTCACACAAAAGAAATTCATTGCAGATCTTTCAGCATAATGGATGATATTCCTTGCACAGGTGCAGGTTCAGCCGTAGCCAGTTGCCATAGATGCTTGAAAGTCCGCCAAGAAACTCTCTCATGACTGCTTAAAATAAGCAGGATTCTTGCCTGGCAGTTCCAAACAAAGCTCTCAGCTGGATTGGCAAGTTAGTCTCCTGCTAAAAACTAAGGGACAACAAGCTGCTCCATCTATATTGTTGTCTCTTTCAGCAGTGCACAGCACAATTCTTTCTTGCCCATTTCTCATTTTCCTCTAGTAGTTCTATGGGAGTTAGCCAATTTCAAGGGAAATACATAGGGGCAAGAAGGTTCTTTTGCTCTGCTGTTTCTGAGTGCGGATCTGTTATCCCATGCTGAACGAGGCATTGCTTTAATTGCTTATATCAGTATGAAATTCAAACATAGATGAAAGATGCAAAAGTTACAGAGTGTAAGTAAGATAACTGAGAGCTTGAAAAAAATGAGGCTTTGAAAAGATTTTTCTGGGGTTCAAGCATTATTACTTTTGCTAGCATTTTCTTTAACTTTTTGTTAGCTCTATTTAATTAAAGTACTGGCTAAATAAGCTAGTGGGGACATTCCCAGTTAGTAAATATTACTAACTGGGAATGTAATGATGACCTCAATGAAATAAGTCCTTAATCTGAACTTTTAGTTGTGATCCATAAACAAGTAGATCATTCCATGGACTCTAGCTGAAAGGATTATAAGAACTCCAGTGAAGTTATATTGTTAAATTAGTAACCAGAGATATAGGTAGCTAGCAGTACTTTAAGTTTCGTCAGCTCACCCAGGGACCTCATTACAAGGAACTTTTGTTTTCATGGATGTAATTTTAAAAGACCACAAAAGAAAGTTCATATGAAATCTTATTACACAATTATTTCACGTTGACACAGACTGTAGCAATCAAGTGGGATATAAAAGGCATTTTACAGTGTTTAATTTTTAGCATATTGTTAGCTAAATTAACTTATATAGTACTTAATTTTATTTGAAGAGTTATGCTTCTTGACCAGACTTTTTACCTACTGATCTATTCTCAAAGTAGGCACAGAAGCCAGAGCTCTAATAAACTTCTAATTGAATCTTGATCAGTATAGCTATCTTAAGCATGCAGTGCTTGTAGCTACTATCTAGGCTAAGAAGCTAAACCATATTAACATAGCTTTATTACCCAAGTTAGACAGAGGCCATGGCTTGCAAAATAGAAGACAAGGAAATCTTTCAGGAACAGATTCTCCTGCCTGAAAGTATGAGGTGAAGCAGTATTGAGATAACGGAAAACAACCCTCTCCTCCCATGTCCCTGCTCTTTCCCATTCTTGTCCTCTTCCACTAGATGATTTATTTAAATGGTTACTTTATGAATATATTACTTTTAGCCAAGCACTGTGCTGTGTCCCCAGCAAGAAAGTAGGGTAAGAATCTGGACAAAAATTGAAGCTCTTACGTAACTGTGTTAAACTGTTAATATTATGCTGATGAATTTTGTTTGGACTTAATTAGAAAAGTTTTTCTATTATTCAGCTAGAGTGTTGAGTAGTTAAATAACCAGGAAACAACTAATATCTTGGCAGGCGGCATATGCTTAAACAAGACCTCATGTCCCCGAAATCTTATCTTCAGCATGAAACCCCTAACAAAAAGTAAATACATGGTCATCAGAGAGCCCATCACTGCAGTGTCCCATCTGCTCCTATTTTTGTTATTGTTATTGCTGTTATCACAGTGCCGAGGAGCCACCTCAGGGATGTTCCACAGAAGAGTCTTGTTTCCAGGAGTTGCTCCCAAAGAGGCTGTTTCCAGAGGCCAAATCTGATCGAAATGGTGTATGCAGTCACACATACCCATAGCCATCCTTTGAAAAAAGAAAAGGTAATAATAGTACTACAGTGAAAGCTGAATTCCTTGTAAAAAAGAAGAGAATTCTAAACTTGATAGGGGAATTGCTTTGGCCTTTGCCCTGAATGCCTTCTGAGGTGCATGTTTATAATTCTATGTTTCTGATTTTTTAAGTACAGTATTATTTCCTGAAGTATAAATCAAGAACTGTCCTTCCATTATTACCTGTTTAACATTAAAGTTGATAACAAAGCCAGGCACAGAAAAGAAAATTCAGCGATAAGG